AATATGATGGAATTCCCAGCACAGGGTTGTACTTCGGTATGGTACAGCCCCATCATAAAAGCAAGACACCCACGGAACGATTGGCGTTCCTTCATCGCAACACGGTCCCGAAAAGGGTCAGACAGCCAGGCGGAGTTCAATTCGGTCCGCTTGGGCAAGAACGCGTGATGTCGAAAAGCCAGGTGAACGCGGAGCCTCGTTCCGCCGGACTCGGTGCGTCGCCGGGTGTGTCACTGCACGGTACGGAGCGCGCGGCGAGCTAACCAAAAATACGTGCAATTAGGATTTGCGGGGGAAAAAGAGAAAAGAAAGAGAAAGACAAAAAAGCCAAGCGCGTCACATCCATTCAGCTCACTTGCGTGCCGCTACACCAACACCATTTCCGTTTCGCGCGGCCTTTAAATCCGCGTGCGGGTCACAGCCGAGGAATATATACGTAAGATTGACGCTTGTGGCGTACTCTCCGCGGCCGGGCACGGAAATGTTCATGCGGGGATGACTATGGTGGGTCGGGAGGGGATACCCTGCGGGTGACGAGGCGAGTTGGGAAGAGACGCGGGGAGTATTGATCAAGAGCGCATAGATGCGCTCCGTGCCACCGTAGGAATGTGAATAGCTGCGGGGTGAATGGGGCATGGAGAGCAAGTTGGCATTCCAGCTTCAGCGTGGGCTCGGGAGCCTCACAGTGCGCGTTCTTCTGCGTCCGCGGCCGCCTTGCGAGCGTATCTCCTCCCCTGGTCCGGCTCGCCTGTCAGTCATGCCTCGAATCCCGGCTCACTTCCAGTGCTGGACCCACGCTGCTCTTCCTCCAGTGCCGGACGACCTTATTCGCGGTAATTTACATTAAAGGCCCCTCTATATATTCCGACCAATATCATTATTGCATCAGCAGAGCCGAAGACGAGTGATGTGCATGTGTGTGATTACCATCGATTTACCTCGCGAGAACAGGGTTGCGAGTTCATGTTGGTGCCTGTGCATTGATTCCTTCCCTTCCTTTCATGGTGGTGTCCGGCCTTGAGTTCGTTGCTCAGGATATTACCTACATTGACTAAATGCTGCGGTTTCGGCTATTTTTCCCCGTTGAAAGATAATGAGCAATTTTCCGATGCTAAACGTATAGTTGAAGGAGCTGATGTTGCCACGCTGATTCACGCCACCATTGAACCGTTCAGCCTGATGAGCTGAAGCACTATAGTTCGAAAACGTATTACATGCGGTCACTCTGAAGCGATTAATCACACGAAGTCGGAGTAGATGTACATGCACATTCCCAGATGCTCAATTCTGCTCTGGTGAATTATGTGAGCTGAATTTAAACGAAGTTTTTCTTAAGATGAAATATTCCCCGTGATTGATTGATTGATGATTGGCGTTGCGATGCCATCCATGCACCTGCTTCGACGAGGATTCTTTGGGACGGGTGTGGCCTACCTGTATGGAATTCGTGGATAAATTCGCATTTAACTTCTTTTTTATAAGCTTACAAGCATCCACGTTAGGAATTATGTAGTAAATCGAGTTTTTTGCTTTGGCAGCAGCAGCATCGTCGTTATGGAATTTCTGCATGATATACAGTACTCTCCTTCTCTCCGAATTTCTTTTGCGAGTTTTACCACCCTCAAGTTATTAATAGCATACCTATTTATCAAAGGTATGCTATTACTGTATGATATGATTATCAAGATCTTAGTATATTGTACAGTACTGTTCTCCAACAATACTTCATAAACAACATCCAATACTTCGTTTTTTGAACGGATCATTCATCCTCTGTCCCGGCCAACCTCAATTTTTTTTCAACTAAACAAACATCGCAGTCCAAATTCGACAATATAGACATACTTTTTGTGGACAAGCCCGCGTACCATCTGGCAATGGTTCACGAACCACCCATGGTATGTGTACCCGGGGCTGGCCAAACCCTATATGTGCAGGTTGTTCACCACAAAAAGCGTCAGTGTAAGGGGTGCCAAAATGGGATTTGTGCTACACTAACTTCACACCTTCTTTATGTTGGCTGGTGCCCAATTGGACACCAAACGCATGCATATGTGGTGCCCACAGTTCGGTGGCACGGCCTGGCACCTGAGAAATAGAATACGCAAACGTTACAGGGCCGGATTCTTCTTTTGGCGCCCCCTATATCTTCCTGACATATTGTTATTGCAGTACAAAAAAGGGGTATAATTCAGCATACACTTCCCGCATTGTGTAAAGCAAAATTTGGCCCTGCATTTTTCAAGTCTTCTCATTTAATAAAAAAGTAAGCAAAGCAGCAGTAAAAGTAATTCATTTTTAAAGGAAAGCCTAATTAAAATGCTTCACCTAGCAGAGTTAAACCCAAACTACCATGCATTTATATGGCAACCATACACATCACTTCTTCAGAAACCAATTACATTGCAGAAAAATGTGGGGTTCATTGTAATTTGGTTCGAACTTTGGTCAAATATTTCTTATGCACTTCATGCATGAAAAACATGACTGGAAAATTTTAGACATGATTTTATTAGTAAATCAAGATTTGAAATGCATCAAACTTAATTATTACCAAATTACACTCACCTATAATGATTGTTTGTCATTCATTTTCATCCAGAATAGCTGAAACTTTGTACATAGTGCATATCACAGAAATTAACCAAAAAGTTACTATTTTGTCAAGGTGCACAGAAGATAAATTTTGAAATCTATTGATACTGTGCATTAATTCTGCATTGCTGAAATTTGCTCAATGGGACTTGACATTCACAACACTCATTTGATGAAATCTGGATACCTTTTTGACTGCAAAACAAAAATTATCTGCAGATTGCATTGAAAAATAATGTGAATTTCAAATTTTCATCTGCTAAAATTCAACTTTGACAGTTTTTATCTAATATTTCCCAGTAATACAGTTTTAATACCTTTGTCCATGCTTGGAATGGGCATTACTGGAATTTTCAAAGGTACAAAGGAGGATCTTGTAGAGTGTTCTGGTAGGGACACATTTAAGAACAAAATATCTCCCAAAAATTCAGGTACACAAATCACAGAGGGGAATATTGGGTACTTTCCTCTTATCTCAGTACCTCATTCCTAGACCTTGCTACCATCCAGACAAATCTTTAGGACAAGTTCATAATCATGATGACCTACCAGAAACTGTGAATTTTATTTTTCTGCATTCTGCTGAAACTGATTTTGGAAGAGGGAAGGTACAGAGATAACAGGAAAGTAGGTACTGAGATAACAGGAAAGTACCAAATGTTGTACCAATATATAGGCACTAATTCAGTTTGGATTATGTTGAATTTCACACTTCTTAAATTTCATTGGCATTCTTACAAATTGCTTTAAGAAATGTGTGATGTGAAATGATCATCTTTTTCCACACAAGCAATGGCTTGGTCAAACCATAATCATCACTGGCTTGAAATACTTCTTGCAAATGCAATACATGCCTTCAAACTGGTTATCACTTTAATAATCTTACAGTTGCATATAAACTTCAAAAACAATCTGATGATCCCTTGGTGAAGAAAGTGATGCTTCTCTCAAAATCTTGCTTATGATCCACTCCAACTCATAATGCTTGTGAATTTTTGTTTACTACTTAATTTAATTCACCATCTGTGTCAATAAGTTAAAGAGTATGAGTTGCAGAAATAAACAAGAACTGTAGTGAGTTGTGTTATAATCTGCAAAATTATATTTTACTTCACTTGTTATATCAGAAGAAATTCATGTCGTTTTGTTGGAATGAGGAACAGAACATCTCATGCATATTAAAACTGAAAATATAAACACAACCATTTTTCCTAAATGGCAGAATTTAGTCACAACAAATCTTGTTTCAAAAATTTTCCAGTAACAATGAAAGTTATTTTTCAAACCCCCTGCCTAATATAGTTACAATGTTACATTAGTTGCTTCAACCAACAAAGCTATTTTTACTTGTCCCAATAATGGCTTCTTTTGGAACAATTTTACTGTTCTGGAATGTTCACCATGACAGCACAGCTTTATAGTTCACTAAATACTAACTTTGGCTCATTATTTCATCACTAAAAGTAAAGCAAGCAGACAAACATTTTTCTGGGTGACAATGGCAATGACACTGATGAATATAAATTCAAGGTTTCATAAACCCCACTGATCAGAAAAAATCATCCCTTGGAGAGAGTGAAATGTTGTTCTCAGAATAATGCATTTTAATATGCATCAGAACTTCCAGTACAAATTCAAAACAAAACATTCAGCTTATGTTCGCTGGAAAGATATGAGTGGAATAACAAAATCAATCTGAACATATTGTACATTGCAGATTTTTTTATAACAAACTTTGAGGTTCCCAAAATTTTTCATACACAAAATACTGTACAGAAAAATTTTCTCACAAGCACTTTTATGGTATTTTTTCATGCATCAATTTTTCTGGGTACCAGCAGTTTTTTCCATATGAGCTATGTACGATGATAACATATTGTTCTAACAAACTCACTTTTGCCTGTGTATAATTTCTGAACAGTACAGTCATGTTCTGCCTTCCTCACATATACATGGTATATACAGGATGCTCTACTTCTAGAACATTGAAAAATCATTATTCTATGTCATGATGCCTGCATGCTAACATTTTCATTTTTATTTTCAACTGGTGCCAAATTTGTTGTTGCACAAAGGCACCTCCCACCCCAGTAGGGAGCACTCTGTGTACAGTGATTGCAGCTGAGAATGATAATGAAGAAAGAACGGCTCGAGATTTAATCATATTTCAGTTATGAAACAAAACAAAAACCCGGATATTTAAATCACACCATAATCGTCATGTTTTTAAGCATTAGAACTTCGGAGGAGTAACGAAGGAAACGGGAATCTTCTTGCGTTTTCTTTATTGGCGCGATGTGGAAATGCTGTGGACGAAATTTTGGGGAAGGAGTGTCAGTTTCGTGGATCCTCCTTCAACCTTTGACTTATGTTCGTGTTGGCCTGAGACATACTGACGTCGTTTATATTTTTCCAGATTTCACATAAATAAGCAAAAAAAAAACCCGATGCCAGGTTTGGGAAGAGTCCCCGGTGTGTCTGACGGCGTGAAACCCGTTGACGATTCCCAACATCGGGAACACCGAAAAAAGTCCGGCATGAAATCGAAATCGCGCAAACTCCGTGTCGGAGGCAACTCGGCGGAAATCAAGTCATATTTGGCAAAACTCAAAGACCTCGTCCCGTTCATGCCCAAAGACAAGAAAGTCTCGAAGCTGGAAGTGATCCACTGTGTAATCGATTACATCTGTCAGCTCCAGTGCGAGTTGGAAGACCAACTGGCGTCTACGAGCGCCACGTTTCCAGTCCCAGCAAGAAGAAACTCCTTGTCCCCGAAACCGAACCCATTGTCACCCGTGTCGAACCCACGCAGTCCTGCGATTGAGCCAGTGAGTTTACTCCTTACACACTCACTCTGTAAACCTGAATAACCCTGGGTGCCCTTGTTTTCTCGGCAGGTACAAAGTGCATCGGACGACGCCGATGCAAGTGATAAAAGCCCGGAATGCGCACCATGAAATGGACGGGGAAAGCTTTCTCTGAATCTCCACGGATTTGTTTCTTCTCAAATTGTGTTGGCATCTCCTTTTTTGGCCACCGAGTGGCCCAATTTTTCACTTCGATCCGTGACTGAGGTGTTCTGGCCACTCGCTAACGAGGGACTCCTTGATGGTCATGTACGTCAAAGCGTTTCTTCAAGTGGGACCCGTGAACACCGACTTTGCTTCGGGCGCAATTGGATTCCGAAGACAGATTCTAAGTTACGTTTTTGTTGCATCCAGCATGACTGTGATATTTGATATATTCACTCCATTTTTATTTCGCCGAAGACGGTCTATGTCGTGAAAAGTGCATACGGCCGAGCGATGCCTGATTTGTATTGAAATACCGACGCGAAAGGAAGTTTATATACAAGCAAATTGCATCCATCATTTTGCTCTGTGTACAATATTTACTGGTAACACACTGCAGTACCTCGATCATACTCTTCTCCGGTTTCGCTTGCTGATCGCCGAGCTCGCTCCCTTCTCTTCCTCATGCCGCGGAAGTTTGCTGAGCAACACCTGGGCGGAAGCCAGAGGTACGCAAATATGCGCATGAATTCCGGGAAAAATTGGAGTCGTCGTCATAGGAATAACTCCTCGAGACTTCGTGCCGCGATTGTTGCCGGCTGGGAAGAAATTTGCATTTCGGCGTGGGTCGGATGTCGGGCGAGATGCAACAGAAGAACGGTTGTGATTATAGGCGGCGGACAGGTGCTCGGGGCACCGGAGAGAAGTGAGCACTGCCCTTTGTCCGCTCCTCTTGTGAGTTTTTTTTTTTTTCTTTTGCCCAACCCATCGGGCCAGGCTGAATAGAACAGGTGCCCAACGAAACGCGGACAGGTAGGTAGGTAAGGCAACGCGGAACGTCCCGAGCAAGCGGCGGCGAAAGAATTTCGATTGTCATTGCCCCTCGGAGCGCATTCCGCCACACCGGAGCGTTTCTTTTTTTCTTTTGTGCCCCGGCCCATCACCGGAGCGTCGGGATCATTCCCGTCCGGATTCACCTTGTAAACTCATTTGGGCATTGAACTGGGTTCCACCCCCTGGCTCACTGACAACCAACAGCGCACCCGGGTCATGGGATTATTGTGGCCCGTGGGCTTCATGGCCTGATGCTTCGTGCAGTTTTCATCCCACACCCTTCCGCTGACACAGCGTTCGTTACGAAAACCGCATATTGTCCTTTATTATTGCACGGATTTTCAATCGCTTGCGGAGCGTGCTTTTGTTGCGGAGCGTGCTGGATGGGGGACCTTGTCTGCTGCCAATCAGGTAGTAATACTAGGATAATCCCGAGAGTGCCAGGATAAAACGCTGGAATAAACGAAAATTTTGTGATCCCCTGGAATTCCGCCCTCTTTTTTCATACTGTCGTATAGAGTGATTCAAGGGGAAACCCCAACATTACTGTTGCACAAAAGAATCCTGTCTCGGACAGCAATTCTTAGTTATATTCATCACCAGCTCTCGCTTCCAAATTTATCCAAGGGTATATTATACATCGGTTGCCCTGCTGTGATTCCTGTATTTTCAAGTCCCGTTTCTTTTCTTCTAATTTTTGTAAGCGTTAATATTTCCGGCAAGATGTATATCCAAGCAATTGTCTCCTGGATGTTTTCATCTGTGCGACATTGATCTCGATCCTTAAATTTTTTTGTCACTGGCATTGTCTCTACCGGAATCTTCTATAGCTTCCTTCTTCTCTCGTGGCTTCTTGGATCTCTAGTTTACAGCTGCGCTTAAAAGACGTGGTACGCTAAAATTTAAGGCAGAAAAGGTGGAATAAAAATGTGACTGAAACGCATAATCCAATCAAATTGAACCAATTATAGGCAGCAGTTTTCGATCCGAAATATGCACTGAAAAATGTTTAGTTCAAGTGAGTATTCCCGATATTTTAAGATACGCATCATTGACTATATATATAGACAGTGAGTCCTATACTGAGTTTGTGCAGATGGAAACACATGGAGTCTAGGAGAATAAGACAGAAAAATTGCCGAATGATAAGCACCCACAAAATCTTTCCTCGAACGCCTCCTTATCAGTTTTACGTGAAAGTCCGAGGAAATATTCACACAGTAACGTTCGAATCAGTATTCCTTATTTTAATGACAGAAACATGTAATTCACGTTTTCCCGTCCATATTTTTTCGTTATTTTCGAATTGCTTTTCGCGATATCTGCACCTCATATGCAAAGGTTTGGCCTTGGCTGCCCCTTGCCCGAAATCTGTGTGTGACGTAAAATCGCATGAAGAACCGTGCGGACTTTTTAAAATACGGTTATACAGTAGTATGAACGACGCACTCTGATGAATCTGATCCAAAGCCTTAGGACCTATAAGGCTTTGGCTCAGATTCATGGCAGAGCCTGCTACAACCTATAGGCACTAGGTATAGTAGCACGTTCTGCCATATCCCTCAACAAAGGAGGGACAGTAGAGTAAAATCCAGCGAAGTATAGGACTTTAAACGACCTGTTTCATTGACGCTAGCATTGGGAGTCCGAGAGGCATCTGTAATAACGGTCGCGATTTACTCAACGGTATATACAATCTCACCGCGCAGCAGCACTGAGAAACCGAAGAGAAGATTTCCCAGCTCCTGGACGGTTGAATGAAAAACATCGCTGTCATTACGGTAAAGTAATTTTCCCCATAACGTAAGGTCTCATCAGGAATGCGATTACAGGGCGTACCATGGGCACTTGAAGCACTCGCTGGGTGAGAGATGATTCCGAAAAAACGGGCTTCATGCGGAGTAGTTATACTGTGAGACGAAAAAAGTTCATTTCTCTTGTTCTCCACACAAATTTGTGTAGATGATAACGTCGATGAGAGGGGCACCGTGGGAATCGCCTCCTACGCTGAAGTTGAGAGAAGCTTTTCCGCGGTATACCCGGGGCAGTTTCCTTTATACAATTATGGAAGATTGTGCTCTGTGTCAACAATTTCCTCCAAGTGTCAGCGCAAACTGTGTTGGCGAGAGAATTATCCTCTCCGGTGATCGAGTAGCGTGGAGAAGTACTCAGCGGTGTGGTCAGCAATTTGCGCAATTTTTCCGCGATTCCGGTTGGATTTCTTGCGGTATTTCGTGTGCAGCACTGGCCGAGATCTCACATTTTCCTTCCTATCCCTCAAATACGCATCTACGAATGGATGGCAATTACTCGATGCATATCGCGGTCGTGCTGTATACCTCGCTTGCTGAAAAATTCTCCCGTTCATATATAGTCGCGGGAATTTTTAGTGGAGAAAAAGTTTCCGCTTGATTTCCCGGCGACTGACGAGGAATTAATGATCCGTGATCCGAAAGTGCTCCAGGATCCGATGAACCCTGCAAGGCTCCGTGCAGCGTTGACAGGTGATCAAGTACACCCTGGGGGTAGAAAACCATCATTAACGCTGGGCTCGTGTCACTCATTGAGACTAGATCTTTCTCGAGTGTAGGGCTGACACGTACAGTACACCGCAGGATCGAACGTTGTAATCGAGGTTGAGTCCCGGTTGTAGGGGGAAAAAACTCTCGAGATGGAACCGTTTCGCCCCGTTAACACTGCTGGACGTTATAGCGCGAAAATTACTCCGACAATGACGCATTCCGGATGTTGTGTGTTTCAGCCTTTGGGGATGGCTCAGGCGTGATGCACCTGTTGTTTATAAGGGTGAGAGATGACCTTTTAAATAACTAGCTTTCAAACAATGTGCTGCACTCTCACGAATCAGAGGGACAACTGGGGACAATGTTAAATTTGCACAGTTGATATTTGAAGAAATCCCAGGTACTTCAACACATGGGCAAGCCATATTCGGATGAACTGAATATAATTTTCTTTTGGACTAGAAAAAATGCATGGGGGTTGCATGGGGGACAATAACCTTCATCCACTTAGGGTTACCAAGGTATGTGTCCTCACTCCTAAACAATGGGAGAAGTATGAACTTTCTTTTCCCTCTGGACTGCATTCAACGGAGGACTTAGCTTGCTGGGCTGCCACATGGATCAAACCGTTGCAGATTTTGAACAGCTTGAAAAAGACGATTGGATGCAATAAGAGGCCTCCAACTGCTCAGGAAATCAAACGGCCTCAAAGCAATTTTAATTTGCAGGACATAGATTCTAAATATTTGGCTTTAGAAATAAACACAGCAGGAGCATCCTCTCCACTTGCATGTTCAAAGAGGACTACATTTTCTCATAACAAGAAATGATTACGAACACAATTAGCAAAACAAAATTGCACATGGTTAAAAAAATTGTTTTTCAAACAAATATGACAAACACTGAACACAGATGATCTGCTTATGACACAACTCCCAACTTGCGAAATACTAAAGCTAATAAGTCTGTCAATTTTTGACCTAGAAAATTCAAAAACTTCTTAAATTGAAGCTGAAGATGTCTCATATTTTTCCTGTGAAAATGCAAAAATTGATCCAAGTGATGGATCCTGTGATATTCCTACTTTTGCAAAAATAACTTTTTCTTCAGTGATAGGAATCTGGGAAACCTGCACCCAAGATCCTTATCTTGCTGGTAAACAAGCTTCTGGTTCAAACAGCAACTTCAAAAACTCAGTCTTTCACAGCATGAATGAATTTAATTCTCAAAGACAAGGCCAATTGAAAATGCCAAGAAACAGATTATTTGTGACCAGCACTTGCCCCAAAATGTAATTCAGCAGATTGTTCAAAGAGGAAAAAGAAAAACTGAACACTTGCTAGAAAAGCTCAACAATTGAATTTTGAGCCAGACCTCTTTGTCAGACTATAGTATGCCTGATGCCCTGACAAACAAATAATGCTTGGTGAATAATCAATGTACTGGATGAAGCTACCAATCATGATGAATTCAAAGTCATCAAGAGACTCCATTCAAAGCAAATGTCAAAGATGCCTTTTGTCTTGTGTCTACTGTGACAATGTTATGACTGAAGAAATTCTTGAAAATGAAAGTGTACAGGGAAATGTGAAGTACATTTCAGAGACTGTTCCAGTATCAGCAGTTGTGGGAAAGTTCTTCAATTTCCACATGAAAGTTTATATGCAATGTGATTAAGTAGAAGTGGAATCAAATGGGACATGGACTATAGTTAAATTGGATATACAGTAATTAGATTGTGAGATTTTTGTTGATCTGTTAGCTTTGTTATTAATTTGGCAATATTTCATGTGTTATCATATATGTTTCAGATTAGAATCTGCAGAACAACTTGGAGGCAGTTTTTCATACCATTTCATTGGTGAGCTACGTATTCTTTCTTTTTTTTTTAAATTTTTCTACTGAGCCACACCAAAAATTTAGACCAATGCAGGGCTCTTTCCATTAAGCCACAGAGGTGTAAGTTTGGTAAATTATCTGTTCCCAGAGAAAAAAGAGGCATACA